GTCGTACGATTTTGCTAATCACTTGCATGATTACAGATTGAATTGGACTCCACTCGGTCCTGTTACCATTATTAATATGTCAAAAATTTTAGTAACATGAATGTCATCAAATCATTTAGGTTTATTTTATTTTAGGAGGTTGGCTTCTGGTGTCAAATGTTGAGTTCGGAAGCTCCTCTCCTAAGGTGTCAGTTGAGACATCATACCGTGGAATAGGTAAGTCACACATGGTTTTGCAGAAACGTGCCATGAAAGAGCTCAGGAGACACTTATCCTTCACTCAGTTGAGATTCCACTGCCGCAAGAAACAGGGACGCACATTCCACGTGGTCACAGCTTCCAATAGCTCTGGTGAAGCTGTGGTCCAGTACTTCAGCGGTCAGACAGATGAGCAACCGGAAGCCTGTGGTTCGTTTATAAGATTGACGTGGGATGACAATTCCAAGTTAGCTGGCATTTGCAGAGATTGGGGTCGACTAGCAAGTGGAGAGTACTATGTTGGAAAGTGGGGACATGGTGAAGGTCAAAACAGGGTATACTTGTACCCCGCCTTTGGACAACATAAGTATCACCTTAAGGTCTACTTAAATAGCGACAACGACATTGATTGTGATGATATAGCCTCTCAGAGTGTTAACTCAATCGGCGATTTCTGGAGAGTCTTTGTTCGTTAGTTGCGTAACTCAGAGCTGTCTGTACACTAAGCAACCCTTGACTGTGCAAATAATTTTAACAAACGAATAAATCAAAACAAAGATGAACACAAAAAATGCACCGTTACCCTCACCAGCTGTAGGTTGTAAAGACCTTTTAGTGCACAAATATCTAATTAGGTCTTATGTCCGACACTTGCCTCTTCCTTGTAGTATAGAGTTACTAATAGTGCTCCACTATTTTTATCATGTAGTTATAGTTTTACATGCACCGCACCGCATTCTAAAGGAGTCAATGAGATAACCACGGTTTTCTATGTAGAAGTTTATGTAGCTTTACTTATTTCCAAGAACAATTAAGGTTCGAAGAGTAAGCCTTTCCCTTTTGTTTGGTCACGGAATATGTATATACACTGATTTCCTCATGAATAGATGTAAATATTAGGGCAAGGTTTTTTTTAAACCTGATAATTCGTTATTTCATTCATTTCAAAGTCAAATCACTCAAGCAAACGACAGCTTTTAAATTTTTTGTTAGAAGTACGTTAATCTTAAGATTTTCAAAATCGAATAAACGCGCCATAGCATCTCCTTCATCGGTTTACTTGGCCTGCATTTGTCCGAAAATGCAAATGATAGTGATTTTGGTCAACTGAATGGAAAAACTAGTCGTCTGTATATTGTTAATATTACTGTAGGAACCTTTAGATTATCAGTGGACGAGTTCAGCAACATGTACGAGTTTTGAGCATAGGTCAGGATCTGTGGTGCTTTTTATGAGAATAAAAGGTCCATCTACAGCTACTGCGCATGCCTTTGTGTTTGTGCTTGTGAATGAAATACCCAGCCTAATTAATATGTTAAAAATACTCCAGTAAAGTTGTAAATCTAATATATAAGAACAAGAACTTGGTACAGTAAGGAAAAAGGTCCAACTGATAATCGACATGTTGCTATACTTCTAGATACTTCCATGGCTCTGTTTAAAAATTCCTATTTTCTTCGCTGAGTAACAACGCTGAAATCATAATTCTTAATGTTATACGCCGCTTGTTTTCCTCCTTTAGAAATGAGGATTATAACAAATTAAAGGTTGCACAACTTGATCCGCACTTACGACTGTTCTTAATTAGTTTGATCCGTTAAAACCTCAAGCCCTGTAATGCGGTCTGTTTATAATAAGCATAGCTTTAGAGCTTGCCACAATCTCATTCTTCGTGCTGCAGCAAGTTTCATGACTTTCCACGATGACTTTACGAGATTTTTGCATGTCAGAACGAATATTCCCGACCGTCCTTTTCTTTTCCATATCGCTTAGCTTGTTCGAAGTCTCTCAAGGAAGTGGTGAGTTATTCATTTAACATTTTTCACTTAGGTTTCCTTAGGAGAGGATGAAGAACATAATTTCCCCTTGGTTCTCTCATTTAAAGGAGAACATGGTTCTCTCATGAATCCCCCTACAAACTAAAACCTTAAAGGAGGAATGATGTTACTGAGATTAGTTTTCAGACACTGTAGACCAGACTATAAGTCAGTTGAATTAGCTTTCATGTTGTAGAAAAATCTGACATATTAGGAATCAGTTCATTGTTGCGTGGTTCTGTAAATGAAAAAGTTAGCGTAAACTACCATAATCACAGATATCAAAACTCCGACCACTCAAAAAACATATGTTCTTAATAGCAACGAAAAAGTGATCTGTACTGACTATAGTTTGAAAGCCCTTCGTGAAAGCTTGAGTTTGGCTTTAAGAATTTCTCAAAGTTTCCGTATTATCTCTGTCGTCTCCTTTATTCGCAGCTTTCAGTTAATTAGGTAGACCTCAGTTGTCCGTGCTAAGGGATTGAATAAGACAATAGATCTTAATTTCAAAGATTCTAAAGTATAAAATTCAGCGTAATCCTCGGGTATTTAAATTATATATCGGAGATTAAGGATATCATTTAACGAAACTCAGGTTTGTAAGCACAGGACAGGTGATGAGAATGATGAATGTCGACCAAGAAATGTTTCATTTACCATAAAATCTTTAAAGTAACACTCTAAAAAGTAACATCATTAAAATAATTAGGCTTCAAAGGCTTACCATCTTAATTTTGTTACCTATGCATTTATTATCACTAGATGAATGTCGCACGTTACTGTTTGAATTCTCAGTCGAAGGAAGCGCCTTGTCTGTCGATCACGTAATCAGCGTGCATGTAACAGAATCGCCAGGGGATTGTGAATTAAAGTGTTATTTAGAGGATGATTGTATGTCGATCAACACTGGACCAATGGGGGATGGAACATACTACTGTGAATTGAATGACTCAGACCATGTTTTACATCCTCGAGATCTCGAAAATCGGATAGGCGTTATTTACAGATCAGTAAAGGTGAGAATTTCTCGAATCAACTGACGGATCGAATTTTCTTTCAATCTTATTCCGTATGGGGATGCATTCAGATTATTTTTAGAACTCTTTCGTTTTCGAAGGCCTGTAAGGATTAAGTTAAAAACTAAAAAAATGGAAAAACAATCCTCTCTCGACAGTTTACAGTATTTTGTCATGAACAATCGAGCGAATCTGCTCGCGAGGCATCGGCATTGCATCTCTGAGAGACATAGATACTACTTGTCTTTAAACAAGCAATGACCAGTCTCAACCTCTTGACTTTCTGACACAGTCCTCCGATATGACAGGAGAAACTCCCCCTGTACGGAATGGCGATTATTTTAGCCTCCTAAGTGTAAACTGCATGCGGTATGAAAAGAGCCCTTACATAACGGTGAACCGGAGTAGGTTTTCTTCTAAGGGGCACATGACGTTGCTGATATCGGAATTTCAGTGGACTGAAACCTGAAGGAAAAGTAGCTTATGGGTGCTAAAAGAAAAATATAATTCTTGACTTGTCTCAAGCTCTGAACACGATATATATATATATATATATATATATATATATATATATATATATATAATGATATATATAATGCTCGGTTATCATGTTTGATATAAACCTCTCAATCAAAAAATTATAGTTTTCAACTGTGATTAGTTTTAACTTCCTATTTTCTTCTAATTTACTTGCCAAGTTATTATAGTACAATTCAAAAAGCCGATCACATTTAAAGTTGTAGTTTAAATCAGCCAATCACCCAGCAATTCATTACATTTTGATTGTAGTCAATTTCAGAGCAACGTTAAACGATTAACGCCTCTTTTGTCAGTCTTTTAATGCAAATTTTCCCTTTCTTCCCTAACTTGGTTATTCTTCCTTCCTCGGAAATTGCAATTGTTTTAATTAATTGGTAATATGACTTCGCGACCAATTCGGTATGTAATCAGTCATACTCGTGAGAATCAAATCGCACTTCCGCTGCGCGGTCGTCCGATTTTGTTAATCACTCGATGATTACAGACCGAATTGGACTCCACTCAGTCCCATCATCGTTACTTATTGTCATTTCTTTAGCTTCTAAATGCATCCTCTAAACGTTTTCTCATGAGTAAACAGTTTCGTTTCATTCTCCAGTTATATTTATCTTCTCTATTCTTCCCATCTTTTAGTGCCTTTCCTTTAATCTTCTTTTGTATTTTATTCAGCTTTGATAAATCGTCTTACTTTCTATGCGTTTTTGTCCTTCCTCTCCTTCCTTTTATTGTATTCTCTATCTGTTTGCATGTTGTCGTGAAAATATGTTCATCATCCACAGAACTTTTGCGCCAGCAGTCCTTGTTCCTCAAATGAACGCTGTCAAACGGGATTCACAGATAAAGGGTACCGATGTATATGTTCTGCGGAGTTTAAAGGAGAAAACTGTTCAATTGGTAAAGAAAAATAAATGATAATATAGCTATCTGATCGATGGCCACCTTAAATATTTTGAGGAGTGAACTAGCCCATTTTATCGACCGGTACGAAATGAAATAATCATCTGAAATGCAATTGTGCAGGCCGATTGGTGACAGGAAGTCAAATGAGTCAGTTGATGCTTATTGAAAGGGTTTGTAAGAAGGGATATGGGCAAAATGGTACTAAAACTCAATTGAGAACAAGACCTCAG